CTGACAGGTAGTCTCCCTGCATGTGTAAAATAAAGAAAAAAATATTAATGTTAATAAAAATATAATTATATATATATATATATATATATATAAATATATATATATATAAGATATATAGACATATATTATATTTATATAGTATATGTCTATATGTCTTATATATTTAATGTCATACTAAGTGTATTTTTAGATTAATATATACGTATATTAATATAAAAATACACTTATAATTAAATTGAACACATATACATATAATATATATAATAACTATATAACTATATATATTGTATATATATATATTATAAAATACAATTAATAAGGAAATTAAAATAAATGAAAAAATTTAAAAATAATAAAAAATAATTTTACAAATTATATATATATACATATATGAAATTTTATTCTAACTGTATTTTGATATTTATATATATATATATATATATATATCAAAATACACTTAGAATGAAATTATATATGCATCTATGTATATATAAATCAAAATAATACAAATATTATATATATAGATCCATATACAAAATTGCATAATTTCATAAATATACATGTAGACTTCAAATATATAAATATGTATATATATTTAAATTCTACATGAGTATTTATGTAATATTTTTACATAATTAAGTAATTTTATTGATGCAATTTGAGGGACCTGCCTGACAATCCAGGCCAAAAGTCCAGAGAATTTAATTTGCTAGCACTGTATTTAACCCTGTAACTTTCTATGACACCCTAAAACCTGTACATGGGGGCTACTGTTTTACTCGGGAGACTTCAAAACAGTAAAACATATCACAGTGATGATATTGTCAGTGAAAGTGACTTTTTTGCATTTTTCACACACAAATTGCACTTTCACTGATGATATAATTGTGATACGTTTTACTGCTTTGAAACACTAATATTTGTGTTCAGCAAAGTCTCCCGAGTATAACAGTACCCCATGTACAGGTTTTATAGCGTTTTTGAAAGTTACAGGGTCAAATATTTTTACATTGAAAATGGCCAGGTTGGTTACGTTGCCTTTGAGAGCGTATGGTAGACCAGGAAGGAGAATTACCCCCATGATGGCATGCCATTTGCAAAAGAATACAACCCAAGGTATTGCAGATGAGGTATGTCCAGTCTTTTTTAGTAGCCACTCAGTCAAAAACACTGGCCAAAGTTAGCGTTTGTAATTTTTTTTGCATTTTCAACACACAAACAAATATAAATGCTAACTTTGGCCAGTCTTTGTGACTAAGTGGCTACTAAAAAAGACTGGACATACCCCATATTGAATACCCTGGCTTGTCTACTTAAAAAAATATATGTACATGTGAGGTGTGATTCAGAGATTTAAGACAGATAACAGTGTTACAATGTCACTATTGCTACATTTAAAAAATATATATTTTGAAACAGCAATTTCCTATTTGTACTTATAGCCCTATAACTTGCAAAAACAAAGCACGTAAATACTGGGTGTTTTTAAACTCAGGACAAAATTTTGAATCTATTTAGCAGTTTTTTTCATTAGCTTTCGCAGGTAAGAAGATTTTTTTTTTAAAAAGCATATTATATGACACGATACAAATAATGGTATGTAAAGAAAGCCCTTTTTGTCCCGAAAAAAAACAATATTACTTGTATGGGAACAGTAAATGAGAGAGAGGAAAATTACAGCTAAACACCTCAGCTCTGATCCTTAACATACAACATGGCCAAAACAGTCTGGTCCTGAAGAGGTTAAACTACAATAAATGTCTTTAGAAATCAGTCTGTGTAAATTAAAATGTCAATCTTTGTCCATTTGAAATTTTAGGAAGAATGCATATATTACTTAGAACTGTCCTAGTTTCAGCTCCTGTCCAGCCATCCTGCGTTTGACCCAGTTGTGTCCCACTTCTAATTTAATCAGGTACACCTGTTATTTTCCCAGCATTGTGTCTATTCTGTGTTGACACTGGGAAAATAAATCACCTGCCTGAGCTGAGTTAAGTTTGTTAGCCAGCTTGGGAGCCATGATAGTAAATATCACAGATCTTTACACTGACTTGGGCAGCTGGTTTTAGCAGCCGCGTGGCTATTTACACTGACAGGCATAGGCAACCTTCGGCACTCCAGATGTTTTGGACTACACCTCCCATGATGCTTTGCCAGCATTATGGGGGATGCAGTCCACAACATGTGGAGTGCTGAAGGTTGCCTATCCCTGTAGTAAATCATTCTGATAAAGTTAAAAAACAATGCATGTCAGAGTGCTGTCAGTTTATTAAGTTTTATCAGTTGCAGCAGAGATAATATCTGTGAAAATTCCATTCAACAGTTGAAGCTAAAAGCAATTCCGCTGATTAAACATAATCTGCACCCTCAAAGACACTGAGATGTAATAGAATATGACAAAGAGAATATACATGAAGCCAATGTTTCTAAATTCAGCTATAATGACTTGACACATCTTATTTAAATATATGTAGACACGCAAAAATGGAAATTAAATGAATGTGATCACATGTGAACCCTGTAATAGCTAACATAACCTAGACTGATTTGGATTTTATTGCAGTTTTCTCTAATTTCTCTACATTTGATATATTATGCCAAGAACTATAGAGCCACAGCTCTTGTATTTTCGATTTAGAAAAATAGTTGGTTCAGAGAATTTTTCTAATTCAACAATTTTTACTTAAAGGACCACTATAGTGCCAGGAAAACATCCTCGTTTTCCTGGCACTATAGTGCCCTGAGGGTGCCCCCACCCTCAGGGACCCCCTCCCGCCCGGCTCTGGAAGGGGGAAAGGGGTAAAAACTTACCTTTTTCCAGCGCTGGGTGGAGAGCTCTCCTCCTCCTCTCCGCCTCCGTTACGCCCCGCCGGCTGAATGCGCACGCGCGGCAAGAGCTGCGCGCGCATTCAGCCGGTCTCATAGGAAAGCATTTACAATGCTTTCCTATGGACGCTGGCGTGCTCTCACTGTGATTTTCACAGTGAGAAGCACGCAAGCGCCTCTAGTGGCTGTCAATGAGACAGCCACTAGAGGGAATGGGGGAAGGCTTAACCCATTCATAATTATAGCAGTTTCTCTGAAACTGCTATAATTATGAAACAATGGGTTGAGCCTAGCTGGACCTGGCACCCAGACCACTTCATTAAGCTGAAGTGGTCTGGGTGCCTAGAGTGGTCCTTTAAACTTCAACTTAAAATATACATATATTTTGGGTTGAGCTGCTAACATGCTCGTGGCAATTCTTCCAAAATAACGCTGAGTAAGATTGTGTTTATTAGGAGTGGGGTACTATGTAGATATGATAAAGAGGACATTATAGTCATCAGAACCACTACAGTTTAATGTAATGGTTCTGGTATCTATAGCATGTTCCTTCAGGCTCTTCAATGTGTGCTTACATTGCTGAACACCTCTAGTGGCAGTCACTCAGACAGCCACTAGAGGTGCAGACCTACGTTCACCATCTCCATTCTCTTCATGGAGACGCTGAACACTTCCCAATGAATCTCTGTGAGGAGATGCTGACTGGGCAGTGCTGAATTTTGTCACACATGCACAATAGCCTCCTAGTGCTATCCTATAAAAAACAACAACATTGGATTGACTGAGATCATCAAGGTCAGCCATGGAAGCGGACACTCAGACGGCCACTAGAGGTACTTCCTCAGTCAGTGCTGCACAAAGTGCAGCACTGCCGTTTAGCATGGAGACGTTTAACGTTCCCCACAGAGATACATGTTTGTATTCCAAACGCTATAGTGCTCCTTTAATCCTTTATTTAAAAAAATAAAATAATTTAACAGGGATAAAGGATATATTGCCATTGATCCCCAGTTTAATCTGTAGTTTTGTGAAAATGTAAAGATTTTTCATGGTCTTGCACAAAGAACTGTAATTTATGGACATATTTCATAAACCTTAGAAATCAAGGTTTTTTTTATTATTATTATATTTGTACAGTCTTAGAACACCAATAAATAAATAATCTGTTGCAGGAATAAACTGGTACAAAACTGTAAGGATTCCCAATGTTTAGTCTTTAAACAATCCTTAGAATGCGTTTACGGGGTCTGGAACCAGCTGGACCATCTCCCTACCATTTTACAACCTGGCTCCATTTTGGTAGTTTACATACGGTAGATTTATATTTTTTGAGATGATTAACGTTTGTACAATACCCGTTTAATGTTATGTCCTATTTTAACAAAGAAAAGAAAGCCACGAATCCAGCCATTTAGTGACCATTTCTTTAAAACGGTTTATAGCTAAACTGCCTACACGTTGTATAGTAAATTGATGGCCTGTGATGCAGTGTACTTTGGTAAGGACCAACCCCAAATCTCCTGTTTTACCTTGGAGAGTGTCACAGTGCAACCCATTTTTTTTACAGAATGAAACACTTTCAAACACACTGAATCCTTTTTAACTAGTGTGGTGCCAAAACCACACCTATTCTACAATTACGTACCTAAACAAACACCTATGTTTGCTATGAAGTTAATTTTGCAGACAATAAAATAGACTCAGATACTCCAATTTTAGCAATTCATGTGCAAATGTAACTGCATTTGCAGATATTAATGTTCCTAATAGAACTCAATTCATAGCTGGAAGCACTCACTACAATGAGAATAGAACATTTCTTTAACTCCTTGGTCAGGATCCACAATGTAGTCCCCATGCTGTTTCAATGGATACCTACTGGTTGGAACATACCCATCCAGTTCATCCAATCACATCATTGCCTTTGTACTGCGTGTTCACTCTGCCCAGTTAGATGCCTGGAGCATCAAAGAGAGAGGTAGGTCAATGTAGCTGGAGATAAAAGAGGAACTTTGAGCTTTGTGTCTTCTTTGTATGCAAAATAAAGCTAACGAAAAATCCCTGGAAGTGAGTGGAAGACTTAATAAGATTTGGATTTAACATTTTAGATTTTTGTTTAACAAGGTATACAAATAACCTAGAGATGCAGAATGAAGGTTGGCCAAAAACCGGAGGCGGGTTGCTGTCAACATTTTTATTGTGCAATATAACATTCATATACACAAACAAAGCACTCATTCACCAGTACAATACAAAAACACACTGGTATTACATTTTCTTTTAACATGGCAGTGAACTGTATGTCTTGGTTTAGCTGTCAGACCTCTACATATTGTGTTCAAGATATGTCAAGCTCCAGAGCAGAGTACAGCATTGGCAGTTTAGAAATATAGAATTTATGTTATTGAACTCTGAGTGATATGGGGATTAAACTTCAACAACCGCTGCATTTGTCTCGCAAGTGATACGTTGGTGCTTCCTGGAGGGGTACATTTATCTGTGTATGCCATGGCAAGGAGCATCTGTATGAAACAAAATCACATCAACTTCAAATGCCCCATAATGAACGAGATACTCCTAGAAGTAAAATTTGGCACATATGGGCATTGTGACGTTTGAAACAATTATTTTTATGAAAAATAATATTTTGGTTTCATTTTCTTCTAGTGCTGAGGAATTATTTTATGCCTTACACATACATAAGAAAACTTATATTATCCCACGGTTTATTTATTTTCAGGAACTGGTTTCATGTCTATAGTGAGCACTTTGTAGATGTGGAATTAAAAATACACTATAGTCACCAATACCGGTCCATCTCAATGAAGTGATCTGGGTGCAGTCGCCTTAACCCTGTCATGTAAAACATTGCAATTTTTGAAGAACTGCAGTGTTTACATTGCATAATTAAGTCCACGTCTAGTGGCTGTCAGTATGACAGCCACTAGAGCTTCTTCCGCTCTACTGACTGAGTTAAGCTTGGCAATGTGATGCAGACCCCTATAGGAAATCATTGATTCAAGGCTTTTCTAATGGGAAATGTGCATTGGGTAGTCAATGCTCCTGGATTGGACCATTGGCAGAAGAGACCATGCCTTGGCCGTGGCATCACTGGAGGAGGAGAACTAAGCTGCACTGAGAGAGTATAGGTGCTGGAACAAAATAAGTTTAAGAAAAAAAGTTTTTTTTAACCCTATATAGGCTGAACAGGAGTGCGGGGGCTAATACCACTCTAGACAGGGACACTGTAGATTTGTACTCCGAAACGCTATAGTCTTTCTTTAACTGTCTACATAGGAATAATATTTGTTAATATTATAATAGCACATTTGGATACATTACAGGAAAACATTGCGAGTTATAATAAAGCAAATGTAATGTGGTCTCATGTCCGATAAAATACGTATCCACAGATTGTAATGGCAGGTTCTTTTCCCACACATGAGCAGATTCTGTTTTTACTCTGGGTAATAGTCAATTAGCCACATCTGTGACTCATCAGTTTGGCTGCATAATCTACTAAACAGCCTTGAAATTGGCAAGCCCTCTCATAAAACCTACCGCAACTCCTGATTAAATTATTTATTCATTAAATTATAAACTTTTCAGATATAGTAAGCCCTTTTTTCAGGAGACAAAACACATATGGGGGATTGCATTTAATATTAAAATCACTGATACAGAGATAATTAAGAAAGTATAGATGACTTTGTTACATAAATTAAACAATGTCACCTTTGAATATTGTATTATGTTAAATCTTATATTTAATGTTTTATATTGTAAAATTTAATAAAGAGAAATTAAAAAAAAATCACTGATACAGCAATTAGTAACATGATAAAGTATGGACCACCTCCCCATTTAAATGGAACCTATGCCCCCTAAAATTCAAATAAGCAAAGGAAGTATAATTTAATAAATCGGGGGCCGTAGTGCTATATCATCAAATAATTCACTGTTTGCACTCTGGACAGCCAAGTTTCTTGGTTTAAAAGTTGTGGTTTCTGCAGAGGATGAAGTGGGATAAAGTCTGCTATGGCAGTGATTTCACAATCTTTCTGTAAGTCTATTTAAATGATTTTGACTTGGGTTTTATTTTTCAGTAAGGGTAAAATGAACAATTCATGTCCAAATATTGGACCAATATAGCTTAACACCTTAAGGACACATGACATGTGTGACATGTCATGATTCCTTTTTATTCCAGAAGTTTGGTCCTTAAGGGGTTAAATGGAAACATAGTAAAACTGAAGGATTTTTCAACTCGGCTCCAGAGAACTGACAAGAAAATGCAAATATTAGGTCACTCAGGTATTTTTCTATTCACCTCTTTTAGCCTTTAAATTTGCAATTCCTGGCAATGTGAATTAACCTCATGCATTTGGCCTTTACAGCCTCTGTTTTCAACTCACCGAAAATTTATTGTTAAAATTGAATTTAATAATAGTGATAAGCTTTTATAATTTTGTTGTGAAATCTACAGTGTACATTCTAGACGCAAGTAAACTTCTAGAATCAACAAATCTTTTTAGTATTTTCCATCCTATCATTAAAGTGCCACTGTAAGCACTGTAATTGATTTATCTGATTGAAGTAGTTAGAGTGTCTATAGTCTCCTGGCACTGTCTTTACATTCAGTCTTAAACCGTTTTTGATATTTTAATGGTATATGACAGCTCCCAGCAGCTTATCCTTTAGTGCTGCTCAGGCTAATAAGGAAGCATTAGCCTAAACAACAATGAGTGTATGTGATTGGCTGAGAGTGTCAGCTGATTGCTTTCAGCCTATCACAGTCACCCATTCAGATATGAATCAATAAGGCTAGAAGGAAGTGAGTAATCTCTGTCTTAGCTACACCTCCAGTGGGGGCGGAGCAAAGGGAAGCAAAGGCAGGGATTGTTGTTCGGTGTTAAACTGCTCAAAGATTATTTAACAGTGACTGGAGGGACAGCACTAGGTTACGCCATAAACTATAAGCAATCAAATGAGATCAAATGATTGTAGTGCCTACAGTGTACCTTTTAATATTTTGATATTGTGATTCAATCACACCACCCCTGTACATTTTGTCCATAGAAAGTTTATATAAAAACAAAATTGGTAAAATTAACTACAACTGTGGGATAAAAATAAACGAAAGATAACCGAAAGGAATGGAACTCATTGGGTGCACACATGAATATGTAGAAAAATAGCTGAATATGTGGAAGATTGTCCATTGGGCTGAATGAATGGTGTTGAACTAAAATATAACAATTATTGAAAAGACACTCACATATTAAAATGTGCATTAGAGACAGAACTCAGTGTGCTTTTGTGTGGATATACATCCGTAGTAAGTCTCCTCCTACTGATGTGACAAGTCTGGAAAATGCAAAACCTTAGCTGAACTGATTTTCCATTTCACAAGTATTTACTTTGACTGTAACTAGTGTTTTCAATATTGCTCAAAAAATACCCCAAGATTTCTCAAGGGAAAAACAGGTACTATTCTAGATGAAAGTACTAGATAAGGTGCAATACTATGGAAATTAATATAATATATCCCATCTTTTAACACTTTGCACCTATAGTAGAACTTATTTTGCAATGATTAATCTCTTCTTTTAAATTTTCTGTCTATAGAATGTTTTTCGACACACTCCTACAGTTGCGGAAAATGTTTAATTTTAAAATGCTGTTTTGCTCTGTAGGAATGCAGAAATCCATGAAAACAGTATTGAGGCAATTTACTAAAAGCAACAAAACAAAATGTAGAATGTTAACATTTACGAGCACCACTAAATTGTAAGGTGTCCTATGCATGTACATACATTGCATAAAATACATAATGTCCCGGATACCTAGGACACGCTGGTGATAGTCCCTTATGCAACTACGACAACTCTTAAAATGTTGCGATAACAAATAAAGGTACAATATATGTATTGGGTTATTGTATAGATAGAAGTAAAGTAAGAAATTACAAGAGATACATGTGAGTATGTGTGCAATTTTATATGTACAGTGCCCTCCACTAATATTGGCAAACTTTGTAAATATGAGTAAGGAAGGCTGTAAAAAATTGTCTTTATTGTTTAACCTTTTCATATTTGTTCAGAAAATGCTTGAAAATACTCTGCTCTCATGGATAGCAACCAGTCGCAAAGACAACAGGGTAAATATTTATCTGGCACAATTATTGGCATCCTTTTAGTCAAAATGTTGTGCTACCTTCCACGATACCTCCAAGATTTCAAGGTCAATGCTGATGGCCTCTCATCTTCAGTTCATCCCACATGTTTTCTATGGGGTTCAAATCAGGGGACTGGCATGAACATGTCATGATCTTGATTTTGTAGTCAGTAAACCACTTTTGTGTTGAGTTTGATGTATGTTTTGGATCATTGTCCTGCAGGAAGATCCAACCACGACACATTTTAAGCCTTCTGGCAGAGGCAGTCTGATTTTCATTTAATATCTGTTGATATTTGATAGAATACATGATGCCATGTATCCTTACAACATGTTGAGGTCCTTTGGCAGAAAAAGTGCCCAAAGAGCCACCACCATATTTAAGTACCATGAGGTACTTTTCCATATGGCTTCCTCTCTGTGCGCACCCAACCCACCTCTGGTGTTTATTGCCAAAAGGCTAAATTTTGGTTTCTTCTGACCATAGAACCTGATCCCATTTGAAGTTCCAGTAATGTCTGGCAAACTTGAAGACGCTTGAGTTTGATTTGGATGAGCGTAGAGGCTTTTTTTTAAATTGAAATCCTTCCAAACAACTTGTGGTGATATATGTGATATCGGATTGTACTTTTGGAGACTTTCTGACCCCAAGGTGCAACTAACTTCTGTAATTCTCCAGCTGTGAACCTTGGAAATGTTATGGCCACTCTAACTATCCTCTTCACAGTGCATCGAGACAATGTACTCACACGTCTTCTTCAGGGTTTATTCATGATATTTCCAGTTAATTGGAACTTTTTAATTATTGCCCTGATGTTGTAAATTATTGGTGTTATTTTATTATAGCTACTTTCCCATTTTGTGAAGCGTAACACTTTTTGCTGCACATCACAACTTTATTCCTTGGTATTACCCATTGTGATGAATGACTAAGGAAATTTGGCCTATGTGAAACAGGAAATAATGGTTGAACACGTCGCTGTTAGCAAATGTACTAAAACATTTTTAAATATCAGTGGAAATATAGTTCAAATCTATTTACAGGGTAGCTAATAATTGTGCCACACATATATTTAACAAAGTATTTTTGTTGTTTTTTTTATAAACCTTTTGCAATTGTTTGATAACCATGAGAGCAGAGTATTTTGGGGTATTTTTATTAAAAGATTAAACAATAAAGACAAATTTTCACAGTTTTCTTTGCACATATTTACCAAGGGTGCAAATATTAGAAGAGGGCACTTTATATATATTTATATACATTATTATACCATAGCTATGGTACTTACTTTGGAGAACACTTGTGGTTGACTAAATTGGAAACTACTAGAATTCCTTTTTTGGTCGCACTTCACTTGACAACAGTTTTCTCCTTGACAACTCACATCACTGATGACATGATGAAATATTGAACACTTCTGAGCAGATTTCACCAGATACAAACTATAGATACGACCCTGCAAGAATAGTTTTACCATCATGAAATTTTAAACGTAAAATTGCCACATTTGCTTTACAATACATATTAAAGCCAAGTCAAGGTCATGACACCACCAATTATGCTTAACCAGATTAATTGGGTCTTAAACATTAATATTAAGATTTCAGTATTTTCTAAAATATATTTTTTGAGGCTTTGTAGACCCGTTTATTATACCTAGCTATATAAATAAAAGTTATTTTTATGTTATATAGATATTTGTTTTTAAAGGTGCTTTTTAACTCTGCACTGAAATCACAGGTTTGGCTACCTGCAGGGTGGAATGTGGAACACGCAACATAGTTACACACTAAAAAAGTCAACAGGGACATGTCAGCTCTCATTTAATGGGAGAGTCCAATATTTCTTGATAATCTTGGCGTCCTTTCCTACCCAAGTAGAGTTTGTAACCAGCCAACACAAAGACGCTTGTCATGATGACAGCTCCACCAATAAGATCATAGACACTGGGATACATGCGCAGTACAAGAAGTTGAAGGATCATGGCTACAACAATCTCCAGATGTTGAACTGTGCTGACCAATGCTGGGTGGAATTTATACAAGGCATAGTAAACACCTAAAAATGCTACCGTAGAACATAAACAGATGGCAAGAAGGTATCCCCAGGTCTCTCCATCCAACGGTATAATGGGTTCTTGCAGAATAAACATGGTGCATGCTCCCCACACACTTCCAGTCCACCCAAAGGTAAAGAGAGCAGTCCACATGCTAACCTTCTCTTTAATCGATCTGTAGACTATCATAGATAGTGCTGTGGTCAGTCCAGCCATTACTGTCATTGTATAACCAAATGCTTCTTTCCAGAAACCAAGGTACGAATTTTCTTCATTAACAATATTTGGGATCATGACCAAACAGGCTCCAAATACACTGCAAACTACAGTAATTAAATCAATGTATGCCATGTGTTCATCTAGCAGTAAGAAGGCCAAGATGGCACTGAAGACCGTGGTTGTTGCTCTCCACATTATGGTTCCATTGCTTGGAGGAACAATAGAGAAAGACGTGTAGGCACATGTTATGGAAATAACATTGCATACACCATAGAAGAATAGTCGTAACTTGTACCCTGGGGGACCAAAAGGTGCTTCTTTATAATAACATACCATTAAAATGGACAATACTTGCATAACAGAGCGGATGAATATTAACTCCAGAGATGGCACACTGGAACGATCAGAAACCAGTCTAGTGATTAATGCTACACATCCATGAGCCAAAGCTGATCCAAATAAGACTGCCCACATTTTCCGCGACTGGAGAATAGAGCTGTCCGCAAAACTTTGCAGCTGCTGAGCAAGCCCATTGTCAGGGTCATCCATCTGCTTTTGCCTGGAATCCATAGTGCCAAAAAAGGTTTTCTTTTTGGCATCTCCCAAAAGTCGTTTTTTGGGGTTCTCCTCAACAAAGCCTCCATTGTCCTCACTGTTGTCATCATACCCATCATCTCCAGGTTGCGGATAATGAGATGTGTATTTAACTGTCACAGTATTTGGGTGTATTTTAACCCTCTTCTTGGCTGAAAAAGGTTTGGAAGGAGACTTGTCCATATCTTCAGTTAACCTATATCATAACAGGAATCACAAAAATGTCATTAAAGTGTTTCACAACCCATTTTTTTTGTGTCATACATTTACTTTTAAATCAAAAGAAAAATATTTTTAAAAATAGGTATAACCTAAACATTAGATAGATTATCAAACAGCCAGATAGTCAATAGTTTTAAATTCATGAAATATTAAACTTAAAATGGCCACAGTCAAGAAAAAAAAAGCCAAGTCAAGGTCATGACACCACCAATTATATTTAACGAGATTAATTGGGTCTTAAAAATGAATACTAAGATTTCAATATTTTTGAAAAATATTTTTGAGGCTTTGTAGACCCCTTTGTTATCCCGAGCTACATGACTAAAACAGCTAATTTTATGTTATACAGATATTTGTTTGTAAGGGTGCTTTCTAACGTTGCACTGAAATCACAGTTTAGGATACCCGCATAGTGGCATGTGGAACACGCAACAAAGTTACACACTAAAAAAGTCAACGGGGACAGTTCAGCTCTCATTTAATGGGAGAGTCCAATATTTCTTGATAATCTTGGAGTCACAATAAAAGACAAATTACATAGATCCAGATAATAAAAAGGACACTCTTATCACCATCACTCTTTACTTTACTAGAGTAGTTTTGATGCAATTATCCTGTTTCAGCAGACTTTCTTTTTAATATGTTTAATTCTGGAGATATAGGAGTCTGAAACGTTGACAGCTTTGCACTGATTATGGAATACAATTTAGTTATTTTCATGAAGTCCAATGACTGCCCAAAACTCTGGGTTTATTCTGAATTATATATTTAGATATATTTTACTGTATGTAATATTAATTTTGTTAAGCTTTTGCATCTGGTGTCAGCACGAACAGCATGCTAACCCCAGACACCTTGGGCTTGCTGACCATGAGTTGGTGAAATACAACCAAATTGTCAAAGATCCTTGTATGTAATTTAGTTCTCTTTCTAACTACCTGATACAGAAAAAAAACATAAATTGGTTCTAGTTTTTGACCTCCTAGGTGCAAAGGTCAAAGGAAAGTAATAAAAAAAATGCCACATGAGTGCAAAAATTTTAACTGGAGATCTGTCCTCAAGTGCTGGGCTTATGTAACTGTGATCATGGGTATCAAGAGCTGTCCGTAATACGTACGAGCAGGTTGCATAGTTGGGTGCGAAAAATAACTCCAGGTGTTTGGCATTATTATAGCAGGTTGGAGAATATGTTGCTTCTCTGCTACAATATCAGCCGTATTACAATTCAACTTTGATAACCAGTCAATAATAATCGATGACAATCCAGTTACAGTTGTCAACATAGTCATGCTTCACAGATCTTTTCACTGCCAGTAATTATACCCAAGTCAGAAAAAATGTAGTGACTTGTTTTTTGTTTTTGTTTTTTTAATACATACCTTTGTATTACGCAGGCTATTGAAAGTCAGATATGCTTCTATATGAAACCTGCCAAATGGAACTTGCACTGCTCAATTATATCTCTCAGGGACTTGTGGTTAATTGTTGTACTGTGCAAGGGCCACATAGACTTTAGGGATCACTGTATTGGGAAATAATTATACAGCGCTGGCCTGGAATTTAAACAGTCCAGATACAAAATAGGGATATGTTTCAAGTGCTCTCTCTTGGGATACACAGCACAAAAAGTGACAATATTGTCAAGTTACATATTTTTTGTTCTTTGTATTAGATATTCCTGGTGAAAAAACAGTCACGTGTTGAGATACAGATTCTCAGACAAACAATGAAGGTTCTAGTTTATCTCATTCATACTTGGGATATACCATCTAACAATGGGCTAGTGCTGACTGGTGACAGTTTGACTGGTGCCCAAGTACCCCCTTACCAGGTACACCCTAATGTACAACTAAACTGCCCTTCCTCTACTTACAGGCAGGTTATCAAATGCTGTTTCTGTGTCAGTCGGGTTAGCTCATTAGCTTGTTAAAGATAACAATCATTAAAACATATTGTATATGTGTCTGTCAGACTGTCACTAGAGTAAAAAATGTCATATTATTAAAAGGACACTTCAGACCCCTAATGCACTTTAGCTTGCTGAAAAGCTTTATGTGTGAAGAGTGTGTCTTCTTTTTTTCATTTTGCAAAAAGTACAGATTTCCATAGAAACTGACACTTTTATAAATTAAACTGGTTACACCTCCTGATTTTCAAGCAGATAACAGGTCATTTTACTTCCTGGTTTGGTTAGCTCAAAGAGGTAGCAATTGCTCAGAGCATCTGCCTTGCAAAGACTGCCCAGAAGTTGTTGGCAGAGTAATAGGGGGATTGCATGCAAATGCTGCTGACAACACAACTGCAGGTTTTGCAAGGTGTAGATATACTGACAATGAAACAAAAAGCACAATTAAATGCATGCAAAATTTCATTTGGGGTATATCTACTAAACAGTGATTTGTATTTTGTGTTTGGACAGTGCAGTGTCCCTTTAAGCCTCATTTGTATGTTACGTTTTACTTTCTTTGATGGATAAAATAAATATCCCTTATGATGATATTTTGAATAGCTGTTTGTCTTTTTGTTTTTTATAAATAAATTCTGTCAACAGTTCTGAGCAACGACCTGCTATTTAAAAAAACAGCATTTACACCAAAGCAAAGTTCGTGAGCTAAATGAACCAGTCACCTAGCTTTTTATATACAGATACATATACAATGCATACTCTATCATGATGCTAATGATCACACACACAACACTGGATATTTACAGCAATGTGATAAAAATGTGAATAACCTTTCCTAGACCTCAATTTAATATTTAAATGATTCAAATCTGTCAAATTCAAACTGACGGATATTAAAATTGAGGCTCTATTTAAAAAAAAAAAAACCCAACATATTTCTGTGTATGTACATAGATATATATGAACCATGATGCACTGTGGGAAAATTGACCTTATTGCTGACCTCACAATGTACATAACATCACTGTCTCGATCATAAAGGTCATGCTGCATTTTGGGACATTTTTCCTAACAGTGACATCATGGTGTGACATCAGCATATACTCACATAAGTCTTGCAATACTTGCAGCTGTGAGTGATTACGTGACTGTATGGCTTGCGAGGTACATCTTTTCAATGAGGCTAGCAGCAAAGAGGTAGAGGAAGGTAGGAAACAGCGAACCGTAATAATGCTTAATAAGAGTGTGTAATAAGAGTGAGATGTTTGTGATAGGATAATATGAATATATATATATATATATATATATATATATATATATATATATAAATATATATTGTAAACTGTCATTTAAGGAAGGATACTACACCAGCAGTGCAATCAGTATGTTAAGGATAGCACGAAGTTAAAGATCGCCTTATTTACATGTGGTCCCTATTTTCTGTCCGCAGTATAAAACATTAAGCTGTAACTCCTCCACACACAACACAACACAATGGTGCTTGTTATATCCTGGTAATTGACGGTAAAAGGCTCCTATTGTAAACCATATGAAAGGATCAAGCTATACAGACGTCTCCCTGGTTTCGGAGGGCGCAGAGAGCAGCTGCCATTAATGACCTTGCTTTTTTCTTTAAAGCATCCTATTTGTGCCGTTTTTCCCATTTCTCCTTTAAGCCACTGGCAGGCAGGGATACTGAACGCCAATACAATGTCACTAGCACACGGATTGCAGAGTGGGAGACTGCATTTTACGTGGTGGGAATGGAGGGCGTTCATTCACTCACGCAAGCATTTCTCATTGAATTTTTTTCATGAATGGGAATCAGATCAGGCATTGCGTACAGCAGCTGGGCACTGTATACAGCAGCTCAGTATTACGTACAGCGGTTCAGGCATTGTATAGAGAAAATCGGCATTGTGTACAGCAGGTTTGGAAGTGTCCACAATGGCTCAGGCTTTTTGTACAAGGCTTGGCATTGTATACAGGAGCTCGGCTTTGTATACATCAGCTCAGACATTATGTAGAGCTCTGGCATTGTGTACATTAGGTCGGCATTATGTCCAGTGGTTTAGACTTTGGATACTGTGGCACCTCAGTTATTCAGTATATTAGGTCACGTTTTGTGTTCAACAACTCAGGCATTGTATACAGAAAATTTGCATTGTATACTGCACCTCAGGCATTGTGTACAGTGGCTTAAGTATTGTGTACTGCAGTTTGGCATTGCGTCCAGTGAAGCAGACATTGTGTACAGCAGCTCAGACATTGTGAACATAGGGCATTGTGTACAGTAGCTTAGACATTGTGTACAAAGGCTTGGGCATTGTGCATCAAAGCTAGAAAATGTGTACAGTTCGCTCAAGCATTATATACAGCAGCCTGCACTGTATATTGCAGCTCAGGCAATGCATATAGCAGCTTTAGCATTGTGTGCAGTGGGTAGGGCTTTGTGTACAGCCACTCTGCATTGTGTTCAGCAGCTCAGGCATTGGGTTAATCAGCTTGGCATTGTATTAAGCTGTTTTGATTTGTATACTGCAGCTCAGGCATTGTGTACAACAGCTCTGGCATTGTGTACAACAGCTCAGGCATTGTGTACAGTGCCCCAGACATTGTGTAACGCGGCTCATGCGTCATGTACAACGCTACGGAATTGTACAGCGCTACGGAATCTGATGGCACTATATAAATAATAAAATAATAATAATGTACAGGGCTCAGGCATTGTGTACAGCAGCTCATGAATTGTATACAACAACTCGGCATTGTACATAGAAATTTTGCATTGTATATTGAAGCTCAGGTATTGTGAGCAGGAAGTTAGACTGTGTACAGATTAAGATAGTCTATACAGCAACTCAGCATTGTATTTAGGAGCTCAGTTAATGTACACAGCAGCTCAGGCATTGTGCTATTGTGTACAGGAGCATTATGCAGAGCTGCTCAGACATTGTACACCGCAGCTTGGGGTCGAGTAGAGCAGCTCAACATTGTTTATAGAGGCTCAAGTATTGTATAATTCAGCTCAGGCATTGTGTACAACCTCTCAGGCATTATGTGCAGTGACTTGGGCATTGTGTACCGCAGCTAAGACATTGCATATAGTGGCAATGGCGTTGTGTACCGTACCTCAGGCTTTGTGTAAAGACGTTTGGCATATTGTGCAGTAGCTCAGCATTGCATACAGCAGCTCAGACTTTGTGTACAGCTTTGTTTTTATGTACAGCAGCTCAGGCATTGTCTACAGCAGCTCAGTATTTGTATACAGCTGTTTGGTATTGTATACATCGGCTCACACAATGTTTACAGCAGCCTACAAATTGAGTACAATGGCTCATGTATTGTGTAAAGCGGCTCTTGCTGAGTACATCGGCTCAGCCGTGTGCACAGTTATTTTATATAATGGTTCAGGCATTGTGTACCGCATGTTAGGCATTGTGTACAGTGACTCAGGCATTGTGTACAGCAGCCCTGGCAATGCCTACAGCAGCTGAGCAATGTGTACAACAACTAAGTTATTATGTGCAATGGTTCAGACATTGTGTAATGAAGGATAGCATAAAATCTAGCCTAATAAAAGTTAGTGAGACAAACATAGAGTCCGTTTGGGCTACGTTAGAATTTGGTAATCACACAGTAACTCGTGTAGGTGTGATTTATAGGCCCCCAGGACAAATTGAAGAGTTAGATAATCTACTAGTTGAGGAAATAGCTAAAATGACAATGAAGGGGAAGTTATCATCATGGGTGACTTTAATCTTCCTGATGTAAATTGGAAAACAAAATTAGCTACTTGTGCCAGGAGCACACATATTCTAAACTCACTACTGGGATTGTCTCTAAAACAAGTTGTTGAAGAGCCAACTCGTAAAGAGGCCATACTAGATTTAGTGTTAACAAATGGAGATTTGGTATCAGATATTACTGTAGGTGAAAGTTTAGGATCCAGTGATCATCAGTCAGTGTGGTTTAATATAAGAACAGTGACTGAGTCACACCACACAAAAACAAAAGTTTTAGACTTTAGAAAAACAGACTTTTCTAAAATTAGAATATGTGTAGAGGAGTCATTACCAGACTGGAGAAATTTAAATGGAGTCCAAGAGAAATGGGATTATTTAAAAGTTGCACTATTGAAGGCAACAGAAAATTGCATTAGGCTTGTAAGTAAAAGCAAAAAAAAAATTAAAGAAACCACTCCGCAGATGTGGCCAAAATAGTTAAAAACAAAAAGTTAGCATTTAGGAATTATGAAAAAAAAACAGAGTGAGGAAGACAAAATGATCTATAGGATTGGGCAGAAAGAGGCTAAGCAAGTTATAAGAGTTTCCAAATCACACACAGAAGAGAAAATAGCACAGTCAGTAAAAAAGGGGGACAAAACATTTTTTAGATACTCAAATGAGAAAAGAAAAGTAAAACAAGGATTAGTTAGATTAAAAACAAAAGAAGGAAGGTATGTAGAAGAGGATAAATGTCTAGCTGACTGCCTCAGTGAATATTTTTGTTTAATATTTACAGATGAAAATGAAGGAAAAGGACCTCAGTTGAGAAAAAGGATAAATGAGTCATTTATTACACGTGAGTTTACAGAGGAAGAGGTTCTATTTCAACTGTCAAAAGTAAAGACAAATAAGTCAATGGGACCTGATGGAATACACCCAAAGCTATTAAAAGAGCTTAGTGGTGTACTAGCAAAACCATTAACAGATTTATTTAACCAATCATTGTTAACAGGAGTAGTCCCAGAAGATTGGAAGTTAGCGAATGTTGTGCCCATTTACAAGAAAGGTAATAGGGAGGAGTCGGGCAACTATAGGCCAGTAAGCCTTACTTCAGTAGTGGGGAAAGTGATGGAAACCATGTTAAAGGATAGGATTGATGAACATCTAAAAACACATGGATTTCAAGATCAGAGACAACATGGGTTTACTTCAGGGAGATCATGCCAAACTAATCTTATTGATTTTTTTGATTGGGTAACTAAAATTATAGATCAGGGTGGTGCAGTAGACATTGCTTACCTAGATTTCAGTAAGGCTTTTGACACTGTTGCACATAGAAGGCTTATCAATAAACTGCATTCTTTAAGTTTGGATTCCAATATTGTTGAATGGGTAAGGCATTGGCTGAGTGACAGGCAACAGAGGGTTGTAGTTAATAGAATATATTCGAAGCTTGGACTTGTCACCAGTGGGGTACCTCAGGGATCTGTACTTGGACCCATTCTCTTTAATATTTTTATTAGTGATATTGCAGAAGGTCTTGATGGTAAGGTATGTCTTTTTGCTTATGATACTAAGATATGTAACAGGGTTGATGTTCCAGGAGAGATAAACCAACTGGCAAATGATTTAGGTAAACTAGAGAAATGGCCAGAATTGTGGCAACTGACATTTAATGTGGATAAGTGCAAGATAATGCATCTTGGATGTAAACACCCAAAGGCAGAGTACAGAATATTTAGAGTCCTAACCTCAACAATTGAGGAAAGGGATTTAGGGGTGATTATTTCTGATGACTTAAAGGTAGTCAGACAATGTAATAGAGCAGCAGGAAATGCTAGCATAATGCTTGGTTGTATAGGGAGAGGTATTAGCAGTAGAAAGAGGGAAGTGCTCATGCCATTGTACAGAACACTGGTGAGACCTCACTTGGAATATTGTACGCAGTACTGGAGACCGTATCTTCAGAAGGATATTGATACCTTAGAGAGGGCTCAGAGAAGGGCTACTAAACTGGTTCATGGATTGCGGGATAAAACTTACCAGGAAAGGTTAAAGGATCTTAACATGTATAGCTTGGAGGAAAGACGAGACAGGGGGGATATGATAGAAACATTTAAATATATAAAGGGAATCAACACAGTAAAGGAGGAGACTATATTTAAAAGAAGAAACACTACCACAACAAGAGGACATAGTCTTAAATTAGAGGGACAAAGGTTTAAAAATAATATCAGGAAGTATTACTTTACTGAGAGGGTAGTGGATGCATGGAATAGCCTTCCAGCTGAAGTGGTAGAGGTTAACACAGTAAAGGAGTTTAAGCATGCGTGGGATAGGCATAAGGCTATCCTAACTATAAGATAAGGCTAGGGACTAATGAAAGTATTTAGAAAATTGGGCAGACTAGATGGGCTGAATGGTTCTTATCTGCCGTCACATTCTATGTTTCTATGTTTCTATGTACAGCAGCTCAGAAATAATATACAGCAGGCTAGAGCTTTTTAGAACTCCTATACAGTAACTGGGGCATTGTGTACAGGGGTTCAAGCATTGTGTGCAGTGGGTCACATTTTGTACAGCAGCTCAGGCATTTTATATTCCACGAAATTGTATATTGCTGCTCAGGCATTGTGCACAGTGGCACAATCGTTATGTACAGCAGGTTAGGCATGGTGTACAGAAGGTCAGACATTGTTTGCCTTAGTTTGGCATGGCATAGTGTGCCTCAGGCAATGTGTACAACAGCATATAGACTATACTGAAGCTTGGCATTGTATACAGCAGTTTGACATTGTATACAGCCGTTTGGTAATGCGTACAGCAGCTCAGGTAAAGTGTACAGCAGGTCGGGCATTTTCAACAATGGCTAAGGCCGTCAAGAGTTTAATAGACAGATCCCAATAAGCGTTACCAGGCTGAGTAGAAATCAAGGCAAGGTACCGGCAAGGATGAGACAAGGCCGTAATCAGGATTGCGAGAGGTCGGGCAGCACAGGGTCATAAACGGATACCAGGCCAAGGGTCAAATAACATGAGATGAGTCAAAAATAATCTATATGATCTCTGATTAAACGTAAAAAAACTATGTAGTCCATTTTGAGAGCCAAATCAAATGTGAAGTCAATGCCATTTCCTTACCCAAAGCTATATTTATACTAGTACAGTGAGAATTAGGATTTTATTTTATCCTTTTTTATTTCATCTGTCTGTTTGGTGAAATTTGTTTGTAATATATTTGAATTTGTATGCATTGTGACAATTTTTTGTTCATCATAAAAGTTCTGCCTTTATCTGGTATAAGAATCATGTTACCAAAGAACCTTCCATGTAGTACTGTGGATTCATAGACATTTTTGCTAAATTGCGTTGTGTGACCTGGTTCATGACACAGCAGGTTAGGAAATGTATACAGCAGCTCAACATTTTTATACAGCATCTCTGCAAGGTTTCAGACCTATAAGAAACCTATTTTTATAAAGAGAATATACAGCAGTTTTGACATCCACACAATAACCTGCTGGCTTTGTATACAGCTCAGACATTGTATACAGCAGCTTGGTGTTGTGTGTAGCACACTATGCCTGAACTGATGGATACAATACCTGAGCCTCTGTACACTATGCCCGGATACAATGCCTGGGCTGAGCCGCTGTACACTATGCCTAAATCACTGTACACAAGGCCTGAGGTGTAGTACACAATGCCTGAACCATTGACACAATGCCAGAGCTGTTACACACATATTCTAAGCTGCTTTATACAATGTCTGAGCCACTGTACGAAACGCCAAACTGCTGTACACAATGCCGAAACTGCTGTACGCAATGCCAAACTGTTGTATACATTGCAGACCACAGTTGACTGAGGAAGCTCCAGAAGGAGTGAAACGCGTTTCGGCCACCAGGACTTTTTTTGTTTTATAAGTGTAAATTTTGTCTATTTAATCACTTATTTTAATATTTCTTGTATATTAAATATAATAGCTCTTTAACAAGTCCACTGAAGCCTCAGGAACCTTCATTAGGGGAAGTGCCAACCCCTCTATATTGGCACAAACCCTGTTATCCTCAGAACCAGGACTTTGAGGCTCTGGAAAAGGTGAGCTCAATACCTACTTTTTTTTTTTTGTGAGTGTGTTGTCTTTTCATATCAACCGTAATATAGCAGTGTCAATACCTACTTTTATAATTTTATGGTATTTTATTAATTATACCACACATTGGATATTTCTACCATTTCTATCTTTTTGGAGGGAACATCAACGAGGAATAGTGGTGGGATGCTGCCCTAAAAAGCATACAAGCCCCATTTACTGAGCCAATTATATAGGCTCTTTGAAATGTGAGTGACCCATTCTGCCATTTAATTGAGTTGTCACGGTGTATTTGTCACATCATGCCATGTTCTGCGGAGATGTCTGGCTTTGGTTTCTTGTATCCAGTACTCTTTTTACAAGTCTTGTTTAGTTTTTCTTGTTTTTTTGGTTTTCTATTCTTTGTCTGGTATTTGGCCGGGCAAACGCTGGTGCTCATCACCAGAGGACGTGTGGTTACCCTGCACCAGGCCCTGATAATCCACTTCCACGCTGAAGACTTCCACTTCTCAACAGGCACTCATCAGGCACCCATGACAGATGGCCGTAGGCACTTGGAGTTCGTGGAGTGGAATTTGCAGCTCTCCTGTTCTGTCTGTTTCGTATCATGCCTGGTTTTTCTGCATGCAAGAGATCCTGTATCTGGACTAGTCTGCTGGAGATGTCTTCCTTATTTTTGTCATGGAGGAGGTCGATCTGCTAAGCGGTACGGTGGTCGCTTCAGGTGTTCTTTTGTAATGCTTGGTTCCTAGTTCTTTGTTCTAGTTCCTGTTGGTTATTCGGCATGCAAGAGTTCCTGTATCTAGACCAGTCTGCTGGAGATGGCTTCCTTATTTTTGTTGTGGAGGAGGTCGATCTGCTAAGCTGTACGGTGGTCGCTTCAGGTGTTCTCTTGTGATGATTGGTTCCTGTTTCGTGGCAGTGCTCCTATTCTGGAGTGGATCTCGGTCCTGACTGGTGGTTCCTTTGCAGGAGACCCTTCCAAAGGAAGTAAAGTAGTTCGGAATGGCATTGTGAGCCACAAACTACTTTCCTGCTGTGTCGGGGAATCCTTGCCTCCGATAAGTCTTGAGGACTTAGTTGCTGGATTCTCGCTTCTTTCCTGGTCTCCGCCTGAGAGCTGCTTGTAGCGCCCGGAGGTCGCTCCTTAAGAGGGGAGCTATGTCAAATCATGCCATGTTCTGCGGAGATGTTTGGCTTTGGTTTCTTGTATCCAGTACTCTTTTTACTATTCTTGTTTAGTTTTTCTTGGGTTTTTGGTTTTCTATTCTATGTCTGGTATGTGGCCGCGCAAACGCTGGTGCTCATCGCCAGAGGACGTGTGGTTACCTTGCACCAGGCCCTGATAGTCCACTTCCACGCTGAAGACTCCCACTTCTCATCAGGCACTCAGGGGTCCTGGTTTCCGTACCGCCACCCGTGACAGTATTACAATCTACACCTTTCTTTGTATTTTTTTATATATATATATTTGACGTGCACGGTCCAATCAAGATCTCGAGGGGCAAGTTACCCAACAAAATTTCCCAGCACTCCACTTAAGGTATAGGTTTCCATATACCATTTACTGTTGTTTTGTTGCATACATTACCCGAACTGCTGTATGCAAATCCAGCCTGCTTTCACTATCGGAGCTGTATACAATGTCCAGTCTGCTATGTCATGAACCAGGCCACTCCAGGATTTTAAAATTAATAAAAATCTTTAATTGTCTCCACCAGACCCAAAGCAATGATATAAAAATATCCCTTTTAATAACACTCACACCTATTCTAGTATAAAAGCTGCAACCACCAGGACAATTTAAAAATGAAGAGTCCTAGCTTACCTAACTAAATCAGATTAAATACCCACAAAAACATAATTCAGCAAAAATGTCTATAAGACCACAGTATTTAATATGTCTCTTCGGTATCTTTATTTTTATACCAGACAAAGGAAGAATGTGATAACGGAACTTTTAATATGAACAGAAAAATATATCACAAACAAATTACGCCAAACAGACAGACAATATAAAACCGGATGCAATTAACAGAAAAAAAACAACCAATTAATTCTCACTGTACTAGCAAAATGCCAGTATTAATGTCCCAAAATAGCTTTGGGTAAGGAAATGGCAATTGACTAGAAATTAGGCTCCCAAAAGGGATTACAATTTTTTAGAGTTTCATCATAGATTATATACACTTTCTTGGCTCATCTCAGGAGGTGTAGGAATTGAAGTTTTATGAGATGCAATTAATGTATTCAGAATGTACAATTATTATTATTATTATTATATTTATAAAGCGCCGTCAAATTCCGCAGCGCTTTACAATGGGTGGACGTACAGACATGTAGTTGTAACCAGACAAGTTGGACACACAGGAACAGAGGGGTTGAGGGCTCTGCTCAATGAGCTTACATGCTAGTGGGAGTGGGGTAAAATGGCACAAAAGGTAAGGATAGTATTAGACTAGTGACAGTTGCAGAAGAGGAATCAGTTAGGAGCTATTAACAGTTTAATTGATACGCTTTTATGAAGAAGTGGGTTTTTAATGTTTTTTTGAAGGAGTGGAGACTGGGTGAGCATCTAACGGAGGAGGGAAGTATTGATACTTCTGATGTTTTTTGTAACCAGGTCCGATCATCTTGGTGAATCCAGATAATTAATTTAAGACGAAATATGGTATATATTTCATATATAATGCCCTCACAATAAAATAACATCTAAAAATGACCCTTCATTGAACTTACAATATACAGTGCAAATGCAATGTTGTTTGTCAATCCTCCTCTCACAACATAACCAATGCGGCCCCAGTGATAAAGAGCACCCAGCCTAACCTTATACCAGACTGAGCTGCTGAACACAATGTCTGAGCCGCTGTACACAATACTGAGCAAACGTATACAATGTCTGAGTCATTGCACACAATACCTGATGTGCAGCACATAATGAGCTGGTATACATAAATTCTGAACCAATGTGCACCATGTACACAATACAAGTTGCATGACACAATGCCCTAGCCACATTTCACATTGCCTGAGACGTTGTATTATTACATGATCTATTTTACACAATGCATGAGCCATTGTACACAATATCATTTACACAATACCCCATCTGCTGTACACATTGCCTGTACACATTACCTGTCTGAGCTGCTGTACACAATACCTGAGCTGCTGTAGAAAATGTTGAGTTCCTGCACACAATGCTGAGCTGATGTACGAAATGCAGAACCTACTATATAATATTGCTAGGCATCTGTACACAATGCTAATCTGCTGCACAAAATGCATACCAACTGCCCTGTTTTTTGGGTCTATTCCCTCCCGACTTCCTTCCCTAGTGTTTGGCTTTTGGGGACACCAGGGAACTGTCTCCAACAAGCATAGTGTGAGCGCCACAGAAACAGTGCTCGCTGTAGTGTTTGCCCTCGGTGGGCTGTCCTAACGAGATAGACAGGTAGCTTGGCATGTACTGAACCCAGGCTGACCAACCAGAAAGGGGCTTCATTGTCCTGCCCCTCTACCTCTTTACACCGGCATCCCAATTCTATGAACACAGAGATGCGAGATATGCATAATGCCTATGCTGCTGCAAACAATGCCCGAGTCTCTATCACGGCTCCGAACTACCCTGTTTTTGTGTGTGTCAGTCCCTTTTAAGGTCCTGCCTTGAATAGACTGCACAGCCCAAGCTCATTAAACGTGCATGTTGTGCCGGGTTCACTAGAATCTAGCGGAAACTGCTTTGTCAGTGCTTTTTCCTAAATGTTAGGGGACAGCTGATACGGTATTTCAGTTGGCTGTTTACAATACTGCTATATACAATGCCAGAGTTATTGTACACGATGTCTAAGACACTGTACATAATGTCTGAAACGCTGTATACAATGCCAGAGTTATTGTACACGATGTCTAAGCCACTGTACATAATGTCTGAAACGCTGTGTACAATGCCAGAGTTATTGTACACGATGTCTAAGCCACTGTACATAATGTCTGAAACGCTGTATACAATGCCAGAGTTATTGTACACGATGTCTAAGACACTGTACATAATGTCTGAAACGCTGTGTACAATGCCAGAGTTATTGTACACGATGTCTAAGACACTGTACATAATGTCTGGAACGCTGTGTACAATGCCAGAGTTATTGTACACGATGTCTAAGACACTGTACATAATGTCTGGAACGCTGTGTACAATGCCTTAGTTATTGCCAGATGTCTATTGCACGATGTCTAAGTACATAATGTCTGAAACGCTGTGTACAATGCCAGAGTTATTGTACACGATGTCTAAGCCACTGTACATAATGTCTGAAACGCTGTGTACAATGCCAGAGTTATTGTACACGATGTCTAAGCCACTGTACATAATGTCTGAAACGCTGTGTACAATGCCAGAGTTATTGTACACGATGTCTAAGCCACTGTACATAATGTCTGAAACGCTGTGTACAATGCCAGAGTTATTGTACACGATGTCTAAGCCACTGTACATAATGTCTGAAACGCTGTGTACAATGCCAGAGTTATTGTACACGATGTCTAAGACACTGTACATAATGTCTGGAACGCTGTGTACAATGCCAGAGTTATTGTACACGAATGTCTAACTGTACATAATGTCTGAAGCTGTGTACAATGCCAGAGTTATTGTACACGATGTCTAAGCCACTGTACATAATGTCTGAAACGCTGTGTACAATGCCAGAGTTATTGTACACGATGTCTAAGCCACTGTACATAATGTCTGAAACGCTGTGTACAATGCCAGAGTTATTGTACACGATGTCTAAGCCACTGTACATAATGTCTGAAACGCTGTATACAATGCCAGAGTTATTGTACACGATGTCTAAGCCACTGTACATAATGTCTGAAACGCTGTATACAATGCCAGAGTTATTGTACACGATGTCTAAGACAGTGTACATAATGTCTGAAACGCTGTATACAATGCCAGAGTTATTGTACACGATGTCTAAGCCACTGTACATAATGTCTGAAACGCTGTATACAATGCAAGAGTTATTGTACACGATGTCTAAGACACTGTACATAATGTCTGAAACGCTGTATTCAATGCCAGAGTTATTGTACACGATGTCTAAGACACTGTACATAATGTCTGAAACGCTGTATACAATGCCAGAGTTATTGTACACGATGTCTAAGCCACTGTACATAATGTCTGAAACGCTGTATACAATGCCAGAGTTATTGTACACGATGTCTAAAACACTGTACATAATGTATGAAACGCTGTATTCAATGCCAGAGTTATTGTACACGATGTCTAAGCCACTGTACATAATGTCTGAAACGCTGTATACAATGCCAGAGTTATTGTACACGATGTCTAAGCCACTGTACATAATGTCTGAAACGCTGTATACAATGTCAGAGTTATTGTACACGATGTCTAAAACACTGTACATAATGTCTGAAACGCTGTATACAATGCCAGAGTTATTGTACACGATGTCTAAGCCACTGTACATAATGTCTGAAACGCTGTATACAATGCCAGAGTTATTGTACACGATGTCTAAGACAGTGTACATAATGTCTGAAACGCTGTATACAATGCCAGAGTTATTGTACACGATGTCTAAGCCACTGTACATAATGTCTGAAACGCTGTATACAATGCAAGAGTTATTGTACACGATGTCTAAAACACTGTACATAATGTCTGAAACGCTGTATTCAATGCCAGAGTTATTGTACACGATGTCTAAGCCACTGTACATAATGTCTGAAACGCTGTATACAATGCAAGAGTTATTGTACACGATGTCTAAAACACTGTACATAATGTCTGAAACGCTGTATTCAATGCCAGAGTTATTGTACACGATGTCTAAGACACTGTATATAATGTCTGAAACGCTGTATACAATGCCAGAGTTATTGTACACGATGTCTAAGCCACTGTACATAATGTCTGAAATGCTGTATACAATGCCAGAGTTATTGTACACGATGTCTAAAACACTGTACATAATGTCTGAAACGCTGTATTCAATGCCAGAGTTATTGTACACGATGTCTAAGCCACTGTACATAATGTCTGAAACGCTGTATACAATGCCAGAGTTATTGTACACGATGTCTAAGCCACTGTACATAATGTCTGAAACGCTGTATACAATGTCTTAAAAGCACATAGTGTCAGAGCTCCTGTACAAAATGTACATGCTGCTGCTCACAGTGCCTCAGCTGCTGTAGTATACAATGTAAATACAATATACAATGCCTGACCCGATGTACATAATGCATGACTCACTCACCTTTTTCCCATGGAAACAACTTGTGTTTTGTAGAATTTGTGTGATATTGCTCTATGTTTCCCATACATTCCTGGGTAGCTCAATATTTCCTGCTATATTATTACTGGTTTTCTCTTTAAAAATTGAAAATAAGTAGTAGGATTATATAAAAAAACACTAACTTTATGACTTTTTTTGTAAAAAAAAACAAACAAAAAAAACATGGATCTTACATCATACAAAAAATAAACTGGAAAGGTTTTTTTTTTTTTTGTAGGATGCGTGATCAATATAATTCTTCCACCTCAGGTGATTGGAATGTCCTATAAAACTTCTGATTGCACCTGGTGTGTGTGGAACCTGTGAATATATATGTCTGTAATGTGTGGTATGAGCAAGCAGGACTTTATGTCATTCTCTGTAAGCCGTCGAGGTGTCATGTCACATTGTCACATCATGCTTCACGGTTTAAGGTTGCCGCCAACCCCCGTAAGTAACAGCTAATCTCCGCACGCCTAGAAACCTGTTGAAAAATCTGTGACATGTTGCTAGCTGACGGTGATTCAATGTCCGGTTTCAGGTATAAGTATAAAAACTACCAGGATTATTAACTGTAGTGATTTGTATCCCAGCTACCCTTTTTAAGCTGAAACACACCAAACCGTTTTAGAAAATGTTTTCATCTGAGCTATTTTTGCTTACATTCTTCAATTTAGTAATCAGTGAATTGACCTCTTCCCCATGCATCTTTAACATTTGAACGGCAGCCAATTCAAGAAGAAAATCCTAATTTGAATATACACGTGGTAAATTGCAACATTGAGCATAACTCTGCTCTACTGGTTGTTTAATGTGAGTCCATATATTCTTGCTTCCAATACACCAAAGGAACTTTGCTAGTCACAAAACATTTGGATGACAAGGTCACCTTCAGCTAGGGATGCAAGCATGTCTTATACATTATCAGCAAAAATATAGGTTGAAAATAAGTACCAACCTGACTCTTGCTGCTGCGTCCCCTATGGTGATTGCTACAATGAATGAAATGGCTACAAGCATTTCCACTCACAAATGACACACGTGGACTGACACACAGCTTTGCTTGTATTTGTAGTTTTTGTTTCTTGCAAGAATTTATTCTTAGATACGTGTATCTATCTTTATCTATATAATTTTATATACATAAAATTAGGAAAACAATAAAAACAGGCCTCTGTTATACTAAGCACGAGAGTCAATTTTCACTTCCAAATGTTGTTGTTTGTCTTGAAAATCTTTGTCTCTGAGTTAAAATCTAAAGTGCAATCGTATACTTCAGTGAGCTCTGTTTCCAAGGCAGATTTATTTATCGTTTGCCATTTGATGTGGACATGTGATGTCATTGTCTCTGACTCCACTGTTAGCCCATAAATGGCAGTAATGATTTGGTTTCCGCAGTAAAAGGTCCGCATGATGCTTTGAGGGTAGAGTCTGCAAATCCTAAACTGCCATTATGCTTTAAATGAACGAATGACATAGTCTGAATCTCGAATAAAACACTTTCCTTTTCAGCGATTTAGAAATCATACAAAGACCTTTCCAATTTAGAAGCTGTTCCATGTGCGCATAATGATTAATTGCCATAAAAAAAACTAAAAACTCAGCAGATATCGTTATTGCCTGAGTGGAACTTAAACGTAGCGTCTGCTACTTTGTACTATCAAGAATTCTTTATTCAAGTCGCCAGAGTCTCTATTGGTAGCAGCCAGAGAGATTGTCTTTCTCCTTTGATTAATAAAAAAGGGGGTGGGACGCCCACTGAAGGGGCATGTCAGCCAGGCATCAAGTACAGCAGGCTGACTGACAGGCTCTCTGGCTGACACTTAATGCAGAAGACCAGGGGGAGAGCACCACTGAAGCATTTTCTGCATAGTCCTATTGCCCACTGCACAACATGAGCACGTCTAATGATGTGCTCAAACTGTGAAACCTTGGGAGAGTTTCAGGATAGTTAGTCCCACCGAAAGCAGGACAGTTGGTAGGCCTGCTCATGTGTGATCTGCAATGTCATTTAGACATGTCTGAGACACAGAATAGGGCAGTCACACATATGGTACTTATTCTCTAAACCAAAAATTGATGAGACACAGGGATGTCCCAAACATTAAAAGAGTTTTAGTACCATTTAAAATCAGAAATTGTGTATATGTGTCAGTGTGTGTGTCTGTGGGAGTATCTATGTTTCTGTGTGTGTGTAACTGTGTCTTTGTGTATGTAACTGTGTGTGTATCTGTGTGTCAGTGCGTGTGTCTGTATGTCAGTGTGTGACTGTGCGAATATCTGTACGGGTCAGGGGGCACAATACTTGCCTTTCCCTGGACACTGGCAACCTGTGCTTTGCCACTGAGTGGAGGATAACTGCTGAATAGACTGGTAAATAAATATAAAAATATAAATATATCTCTGCATTCTAAGCCTAAAAACAATGATGATGGAAAAGATTTAGAACTTTGGAACTGGAGAGGAGATAATATAATTGGTAAACTAAAACAAAATGTATAAATTGGTGAGAGCACACTGAATAACACAGATATTACCACATATAAAGCAAAGAATAATCCTGTAACAAAAAAGAAACAGGAAATCCATAGGGTAATAAAGTTTAAACAAGTGAAACACAATATATAATCAACCTCACTCACATGCTGCTGAGCCACTTAGATAAGCTGGATCAGACTAAGGACTTTGAATGGAAGAGTAAAGGTGGTCTCAGAATAAATAATTGCAGCTTCCATGTTGTTATTTAGTCATATTCTCTTGCACAAAATCCAGGATGCAGGATACTGAGAAATTAATATTTATTAAAGGGATACTCCAGGCACCTGGTCTGGGTGCCAACTCCCACTACCCTTAACCCTGCAAGTGTAATTATTGCAGTTTTCATAAACTGCAATAATTACCTTGCAGGGTTAAGTCCTCCTCTAGTGGCTGTCTATCAGACAGCCACTAGAGGGACTTCCGAGTTCTTAGAACACATAAAGTGTATTATACAATGCTGGACATCCTCACACTATGTGAGGACCTCCAGCGTCGCCGAAAATCCCCATAGGAAAGCATTGAAGAATGCTTTCCTTTGGGGAAGTCTAATGCGCGTGCGCGGCCATTGCCACGCATGCACATTAGGTCTCCCCCGCCGGCTGACGTTGGCGGGTGAGGAGAGTAGGCGGATCCTGACCCAGCGCCGAGGGACATTGGCCCTGGACTCCGGTAAGTCACTGAAGGGGTTTTAACCCCTTCAGCAACTTGGGATGGGGGATGGGAGGGAGAGGGGAACTAGAGGGTCCTACAGTGCCAGGAAAACAAATATGTTTTCCTGGCACTGGAGAATCCCTTTAAACACAGAAGAAAAGAAAAAATATTAACACCAAAATAAAGAGTCCAACTAAACAAAATAAAATACACTTGACACGTTTCAGCTCTTGCCTTTTTCAAAAGTGTCATATCCATTCTGGGCATCCTAATCTTTAAGTCCGGCATTGGTGCGCTTTTTCGATCCCAGGCTCCTCCCATTTCCATTTCAGACATCAGGATGTTTTACAACTGCATCCCTTCAACCTTCCGCTGAAAGAGGACAGACAAGGGGACGTCAGGTCAAAAGGATGCAGTTGTAAAACGTCCTCAGCAGCATGTGAGTGAGACTTAACTTGTTTAAACTTTATTACCCTAGGGTTTTCCTGTTTCTTTTTTGTTACAGGATTATCCTTTGCTTTATATGTGGTAATATTTGTGTTGTTTAGTGTGCTCTTACCAATTTATATATTTTGTTTGTGTTGCACTTTTGTGTGGTGGAGTGACCCACATAGGTGACAGTAGCACCATATTTTATTGTAATATACCAATCCTTATTTGTTGTTGCTTTCATAATTGGTAAACTACTTAAAGTCAAATTTGGTGGATCTTCAATCTAAACACCTTGAGACCTTATGGTCTCCATCTGGATTTTGTCTAACGCTACTTTTTAAACAACAACTTATTATTATCATCATATTTTTCCTCCTATAGATCGTTATAAATTTGCCCCGATTTAACATTTTTGGACAAGTTTCACAAATGATTTAATATTTTGGAAAAACTTTTGGAATTATTTACTATTTTGAAAATATTGAATATTCAAAGATTTTGATTTTTTTTAAATATATTTATATATATTTTATTTGAAATATCTTTTTAATATTTTGATTTTTTTTTTTAAAGTTTAGCCAAAAATATTTAACCACTTTAACCCCTTAAGGACCAAACTTCTGGAATAAAAGGCAATCATGATATGTCACATGTCATGTGTCCTTAAGGGGTTAAAAGCTTATCCAAATATATTAAATCATGGCCATTACTGGTGGGGTATATTGAATATTGTATAGTTTTGCTCTAACACTTACTGGTAACTGTGCATTGTATGGGAATTAATTGTGGTATATATGTTTCTATTCGTTGTTTATGTGTTTATGCTGATCGATCCTGTTTACTACAATAACATTCCCTCCATTCTCTCTGTTTACTGTTTGACTATTACTACGGACTGTGTTTAAAAATAAATGGGATATAAACATTCTGCCCACATCGACCTTTACAAACTCCACCCCCTTCAACTGAATCGTGGATGATGAGACTACATGCAAATGGACTGGGTGAATTCTGTTTTCTCAATTCGTTACTCGAAGGTCGCATGATAACTCCTCCTTGGATGGGACCTGCAACTGGCCAGGCTGTCCAGCCCCACCAACAATGCCATGCCAGGTGTGTGCATTTAGTTATCTCTTATCTAAAAGCTAGCTACGTTCTCATAATATTCTTGTGAAGCTATGCATGAGTCATTCTGCTGCTGTGTTTTGTGGTTATTAACATTTTCAATACTGTGTACCGGCACCATCTCTAATAGTTTAATTTGCTCAATAGCGATCAATCATTCTTAATTAATATGGAATATTATTATCACAACTGGTGATTCCTGTATTTACCATTCTTTGTATGTAGTATCACCCTGAAAGGGACACAAGCGAAGATACTTTAGAACTTGGATTCCTTAAATCCATGAGTGCCATTCTTTCACGTTAGTTAGGGGTGAGTGGGTTTGTTGTTTTTTTAGGAAATTTTAGGTCACTTACCAATAACAAGTAAGGCAACAAAATGTAATTTAGAACAAAAGCAATATGTTTTTTAAATACATTTATTGTGGTTTAAAGACACCTTACTGTAGTTATTACTTCTGTTATACACTCAGACATATCAACACTATGACAGACACACCAGGCGTGTCTAGACATTGCCTGGTCTGCTTTTTGATGGCTGAACACAACTATTTCATCAAATACCACTGTATAATATTAAATCATTTTAAAAGTTTATTCAAAAATATTAAGAAAGGGCATTGGTTGAGACCCAAAACTAATTTGTGTTTTTTTCTTTATCAAGGAGTTAGATTTAAATTGCCTGACACCTGGCCAGCAGGAGCTTTGACACTGTGCGAGAAAGTGAGATTTGTGTGCTAACACCAGATGCAAAAGTTGCACAAAACGTATATTGCCCTGAGTCTCATCCCCACTCTCTCACACGGATTCAGCTCCCTGTCAGATCGCGGACAGGATAATGAAGATTGTCAGAATCCTCTACCACAGTCCCACGAGACCACACTACTAGCGGAGGTAGAGTGTATAGGGAAGAGACACAGGTGTGAGGAAAAAGACATAAACAGACATGGAAGTTAAGAGAAGCATTAAGGGTCTGAGCAGGATTAAGCATAAGGCAACCTTAGGCTGCCACTTGGGCCCAGGAGTTAGATAGGGGCCATGGAACCGTGGTTTTCTTACCCCATTAGTTATCCCTATGTGAAGAATGAATGAGGGACCTGGTAACTTGTTAGGGCCCTGTGTGATCTTAGTCTTTCTCTGTTAGGGGGTGAGTAGAAGACAAACACAATTAGATGAGTGCAGAGTTACACACTATATATTTACAATTTGCAAGGGGTGCATACATAAAATATCCTACTTACACCTTGGATCACTACATCGTTTTATCACTTTAAACAAACAAGTCTAACTGTTGTTTCATGCTGTCTCCAAAACAACAGCTTCATGTCTATTAATTATGTTTAATTTTTAAATAGATACAACTGTTTTTTCATTGTGGATTGTATGCCTTGCAAATGCCTGCAGGATAAATGTAAAGTTGTATACATGACAGTTTGCATATGATGTAGTTGACATTTACACAATTTTGTATATATAATGTGTTTTCCATGTATAACGTGTTTTATTTGAAGCTGCCTAATGCAGACACTTTCTGTATATTTGTGTAAAACTATTCCCGACATTGGTATCAATTTAGTAATTTTAGATAACACTTTAAAATGATTTAATATTATGATTTTTTTTTTAAAATATATATAATGGTTTTTGACATTTTAATATTTTGAAAAAAATCATTCAAAAGTTTATCACAGTGTTTGTGTGTATCTGTTTGTGGACTGTTTCTCACAGTGTTTGTGTGTACTTGTATCTGAGGCTGATTCTTATAACGTTAAAGGGACACTATAGTCACCAAAACAACTTTAGTTAAATAAAGCAGTTTTGGTGTATATATCATGCCTCTGAAGTTTCCCTGCTCAATCCTCTGCCATTTAGGAGTTAAATAACTTTTGTTTCTGTTTATGCAGGATTAGCCACACCTTTCCTGGCTTTGACTGACACAACCTGCATGAAAAGAAAATGGTTTAATTTTCAATTAGATGTAACTTATTTTAAAAGTTTTTATCTCCTGCTCTCCTGCTCTTTAAATACATAGAAGAGGCTCCTAGGAGGTCTAGCAAGCTATTAACAGAGCATGAGATAAGACATTCTAAATAAAACCTACTTTGCAATACAGGAAATGCACACATTACATGACTCTTTGCAGGGAGTGTTTAGGAAGGCTGTGCAAGTCACATGCAAAGAGGTGTGCCTAGGGCTGCCTAAACAGAGCAATTTAACTCCTAAATGGCAGAGAATTAACCACTGAGAAGGCAGGGGCATGATCTATACACCAAAACTGCTTTGTTAAGCTAAGGTTGTTTTGGTGACTATAGTGTCCATTTAATGCATACTTGTATATATAACTATTCCTTACAGTACAGTAACTGTATGGATGGTTTGTCATAGTGTTTGTATGTCTGTGATGATGTCGATGGTTTTTCACTGTATGTGTGTATTTGTATGTCTGACTGTTTCTCACAGTGCTCATCATAATGATGTGCATTGGATAAACAAGACATACTAGTAGTTTTGATAAAACAAGTTAGGCTGTAACCAGCGGCAGAAGCAGCATGTGACGGATGAATTTTCACTATTTTATATTGTTTCTGTAAATGGCGATGCTACCGTTTCAGTATAACACTTGTTTGTTTGTTACAGTGTTTTTCTGCATTGTGTATGCATTTTCTGCATTGTGTATGCACGTTATAACACTATTCATGTGTGGGTCTCTGCTGTTTCAACGTACTCACACATTCTTGTATCAGTGTTTGTGTATGAAGCTCTTTTACACATTATTGCAGTGAATCCGTGTTTGTCTTTATTTGTTTGTGACCCTTTTTTCACAGTATTTGTGTGTGTTTCAGGGTTAGATGGTTATTCAGACCGTGTGTGACCTTATTAATACACTCTGTATGGCGGTTTCTACATGTCTCATAGGGTGAGTGTAGTGTCTGTTATAGTCTCAGTGTTCCCTGCATTCTCACTGCATCATCTTTTTCCCCTAGTGCAATGGGCACTGAAGCAGAGATGCCACATAGAAAACACAGCCCTCATCATTTTCAAGACTATTTTGCACCTGCAGACTAATCAACTCAGCAATATCCAACAACATCTCTAAAATTCGACCTAATCTAGTGTATGAGCCGTCTGGCCTGTCTGAATGCCTACTGTCCTATCTCTGCATATGTCTCCTATTTGTTCCTCTAGTGGATAATATAATAATATATATAGACATTGAACAGACGCTAAGGAGTTCTTGCCCATTACTGCAATAATTCTTAATGGAATCTTTGTGAACGAGCCATTCTTCTGGCTTAGCTTTGTCAGTTATTGGATTCTGTATACATCTGTACTGGTCTCCACTACAGCACACAATGTCATAGAGCTCACAAAAGATATGCCCCAGGCCCTTGATACCTAGGAACCCACCTGTCCTCCTCGTATTCATTGTTCACAATGTACGAAACATGCATGTCGTGTTAATAACAATGAATCTAGGATGGTACAAAGTATCATGTAAATTATTTTAGTCCCATGAAGACAATTATAGACTGCGCAGCTAGACAGCTCATCACGCATGTAATTTTGGTATATCTTATTGTATGTTTTTTTGCTCATAAAAGGGAATATAGTACTCTGGGGCATTCCATGAATTTAATTCTCTGCTCCTATCATTACTATAACAAATCCTTTCAATTGTTCTTTGCCCTTACACTTTACTAAATAAATATAAATTTGTGCATTTCCAACATTATTAACTCATTGCTTACAATGATATGCAAGCATTAGTTTTATTGCATGTGTAAGATGTACCAAATATATAGCACCTCACTATAATGATTGCATGTAGACCTAATATTTATTGGCCAAATTCTTTGTTTTGCAGGAGATCTACATTTTTCACCATTCCCCAGAATGATATCTCAGGACATGAGAGTGTGACTTTTCCCTCTAGATCATAAATCGCTTCACTTTGATCTTTAGATAAATGTGAGCGTCATTAGCCATGGTGCTAAACCGGTCATGATGTACTCAAGCATATGTGAACATGTTGAAATAAGGGCTGGTTGCTGGTTGAGGATCATGGAAAAAAATTGAAAATTTGGAAAATATAGTTTGCAAACATCAGAAGTGCCACGGTTCTAGAGGGTCAACGAACCCTTTGATGACATCAAAGGCCTTCTGGTTTCTCAGGAAGCGACTAGATATGTCATTATTTGCACAGTGAAAAAAAATATTATCAAGCCTGCTTTAGTACATTAAGACTCTTGCCTACCCAAGAAATCGATGCATAAAGTTTAATGACTGATTGCACGGAGAGAGGAATTAGTGTGGAAATGGATAACCAGTTAAACGCTGCTTGCTAACTCACGTCCTCTTCCAGAACAAACACTCTGAGCTGTTTGCTGTTCTGTGTAATATATAACATTTTATGACCAATTCTGCAAACAAATAAGTGAATTTATAGATCTATGCACTGCGTTTTAATCCTTTAAGGACCACGGTTAGGCAGATGTCTTGTTAGTGTGAATATCCTGAGATTCCAGAGGTCCAGATGGGATTAAACTGCTGTCACCATTGCATTTATCATCTTTTTTTACATCCTTAACATCAATACTGATATTTTCACAAGATCACATCAACTGCAGTAACCGCTAGTGGCCTAGCTTTAATCTAATTTTCTGGTATACCAAGTGGCTGAGGGATTTTACATTTTAAGTCAAAATAGTTAATTTGGAGAATGTTTCCCGTTTGACTGTCATTAACCTAGCATTTGCCGATTGCCCACAATCCATGGTTTAGTAAACTTTCATTCTGTCTAGAAAGTACAGAGCCAGTTAATATATATAAGAATCTGTAAATGTAGACGGCATTTGGTCTGGGTGATCTGTCTGCGTACAATGTACGACAATATAAAGATCTTGCCGCCATATTGAAATGTCAGAAAATGGAAAATGATATAATGACATTGGAAGCTCTGATAATTAACCCATTGTATTGTGCAATCATACCGACTTTGTATTTATCACGAGGGCAGTATTCTGGGAAATAGGAATATCAGACGAAGGATGACAGTTATCTCAATGCTTGATCTGTTCAAGTTCCTAGCTCATGTCTAAGTTAAGAATCGCGCATTTTTCAATGTAACATCATACTGTTTCTTTGGTCCATTTCTTGAGAATTAATTTCTGGAGTTACGTATTATAGACAAGATCTTAACAGTATTATAATATCACAGTCTTTGTGTCTATCAACTTGTAACAGTTTACAAACACCCTACCATTCCATGTTAATAGCACTATTAGACCTAAACCCATATTCATTGTCTAAACTGGATGAGATTTGATGTCCACATCACAGAGAGTATATTGCTCTTTTATCATGTTAAGAACACATTTGATTACAGCTTAGCTACTGGGAGAATACATTATAATCGCATCATCCATTATATTTTAATCCTTATTTTTAAAAAAGGCAACATATAAATAAATAAAAATAAACTTTAACAATCAGCAGCAGACTATTTTAATGTACTGTATCATTTATTGTGTGATGTTCCCCTTTAATAATTTATTTGCACATTTGCAATATTATATATATATATATATCTGTTATTAATGAAGAACTGTCTAAAGATTTAAATAGCAAAAAGCTGATTTAAAATTCATTCACCCAAAAAAGAAAGAAATAAACAGTTTTTGTTTTTTTTACCTTACTACATGGTAGTTAAAAAGAGCAAAATGTTAAATCCCTAAGAATTGGAAAAGGAGCCAATAGAAAAATTATTTTTGAAAACAATAGACATTTTTAGTGATCATCTTATATTTGTATATTTATATTATTATTTGTAGTGAAATATTATGAAGGTAATATTACTATATTTTTTGTTAACTATCCTTTCCAATTTCAGTTAAATCCACCACTTCTCTGTAATGCACAGCCTGCATATGTCTCTACTAATAAAAATATTTGTAATGCTTTTTTTTGTGGAAGACCACAATCCCATTATCTGTCCCCCTGCATTGATTCGACTCAAACGACTAATACATGATCCATTTCAGCACCAAAGACAGCGAGTTATCAGCAAGGACACAGCACTGTCTCAGACCAGCACCTGCTCTGCTGCAGGAGGCTCAGCAAGGTTGGACCCTTGCAGTAGCAGGAGAGCTTGGCATTCAAAGGGTTAACATGCTATTACTTGGTTGAGTGACAATTTGCCATTCCTTACTTATGCCAGGCAGGGATCTAAAAATACTTAAACAGTATTATTTAGACACACTTCTCAATGCAGATCTAGATGTAAACACTGGCCAGTTGCTGATTGATGGAACTCTCTGAATACAATGTAACTAGCAGATCTTAGTAACACTGACATTCAATGGCAAACATGCATCAGTGGATTACCTCTGGTCCCAGGAGCTGGGGTTGCATGTATAGGTGGTAGAACTAGCCTCAGCAGATAGCTGGGTTGCAGTGGAAGGTACAGGGGACTGGCATGGCTTCAGGTGGTCCTCTGCCCCTCTCTAGTGCTGTATAGATGTTCTCACATCCCAAGGAAAGCCCAGCAAGGTTCCAACTATGAGTCTATAGGGAGCTTGTTGTACTGACTACAGTGAAAGGATGGTTATAGGAGGGCAGTGAGTTTTCCCCACCCCTCCCCCTCCTCCCTCCTTCTCTTCTCCTCTATCTCTCTCTCCCTCTCTGTTTCTCTCTCTCCTTTCAGACTCCATTTGTCAGACATACAAGAGAGGAAATAGGGACCGAGCTTGCATCTGGAGGGGGAGACTGGGAGGAAGCTATAGATGGATGTGAGAATGAGCATTACAGCTTGGGGCAGCCGTGTTGTCTGTCAAAAGCTGTTTGTTCTCTTATTACCTTAACATACACCGAAAGACATGTTTTCTACTGCTATGTTTACATGTTCGTAGTTTACAATTTACAGCTACGGATAAAGCTCTATGTGGATTATAAGTAATGAGGGACAAAAATGCATCAAAAATACAAAAATGTATTTTTTAAATAAATCACAACTCAAAAATACAAGTAAACGTGACATATATATGCATAGGAGTATGTTTTAAATCTATATACAAGCATATGGTTGTATCAATAGAATCGTATTTAACCATGTAGAACCTTGAAATGAAAATGAGTACATGGCAAATCAGCGTAATTAAGAAATAAGGAGAAGCACCCTTTAGGACAAAGGAGCCACGTCATATCCTACAACCGTTAAAGACTATGTGTCTTGGGAGAGTTCGAAAAGAATATAACAGCTTTAGTGATGTAAGCCTGCAATGATCATAAAATATATTTCACAATAACAGCCCTTACAGATGACTTTGACAGCTCTAGAAGGGTAGAAATTCGGCAAACAAGTGATGTGTAAGAAAGGTTACATTATATTTTGGAGAACCAAGCTCTATTACTCTATTGGAGTGATACCTGTTAGCAAAATGTGCAAAGGGATTTGGGATAGTGTACGGGTACCTTTATTTTTGTTCTGTGTATTGGGGCTGACGTGTTCTATAGTCATTGATGCTGACCAGGAGTAGTGAGGGTCTGAGCGCAGGGCTTATTTTTGTATGGGTGTAGTAACCCACTATCACAGTGGTTCACAAACCAGTCATCAGCACCCACCAACAGTCCAGATATTGTCAGTATCGGGAAAAAAAAAAAGAGAAATACATAATTCCTGAAGTGTTGGTAGGCCATGAGGACTGGTTTGAGAACCACTGCACTATAGCATACATGATAGAAACAGATAAGGCATTGGCATGGTCAGCATTTGGGCTTAGCCAATTCACAAAATTTATACACACAATATATCTCACAATATGAGAAATAGCTACAGTATATTTATATCTCACGATATGAGATATAGCTACAGTATATTTATATCTCACAATATGAGAAATAGTTACAGTATATTTATATCTCACGATATGAGATATAGCTACAGTATATTTATATCTCACAATATGAGAAATAGTTACAGTATATTTATATCTCACGATATGAGATATAGCTACAGTATATTTATATCTCACGATATGAGATATAGCTACAGTATATTTATATCTCACGATATGAGATATAGCTACAGTATATTTATATCTCACGATATGAGATATAGCTACAGTATATTTATATCTCACGATATGAGATATAGCTACAGTATATTTATATCTCACGATATGAGATATTGCTACAGTATATTTATATCTCACGATATGAGAAATAGCTACAGTATATTTATATCTCACGATATGAGAAATAGCTACAGTATATTTATATCTCACGATATGAGATATAGCAATAGTATATTTATATCTCACGATATGAGATATAGCTACAGTATATTTATATCTCACGATATGAGAAATAGCTACAGTATATTTATATCTCACGATATGAGATATAGCTACAGTATATTTATATCTCACGATATGAGATATAGCTACAGTATATTTAGATCTCACGATATGAGAAATAGCTACAGTATATTTATATCTCACGATATGAGAAATAGCTACAGTATATTTATATCTCACGATATGAGAAATAGCTACAGTATATTTATATCTCACGATATGAAATATAGCTACAGTATATTTATATCTCACGATATGAGATATAGCTACAGTATATTTATATCTCACGATATGAGAAATAGCTACAGTATATTTATATCTCACGATATGAGATATAGCTACAGTATATTTATATCTCACGATATGAGAAATAGCTACAGTATATTTATATCTCACGATATGAGATATAGCTACAGTATATTTATATCTCACGATATGAGAAATAGCTACAGTATATTTATATCTCACGATATGAGATATAGCTACAGTATATTTATATCTCACGATATGAGATATAGCTACAGTATATTTATATCTCACGATATGAGAAATAGCTACAGTATATTTATATCTCTGATATGAGATATAGCTACACTATAATTATATATCTCACGATATGAAGATATAGCTACAGTATATTTATATCTCCACGATATGAAAATAACTACAGTATATTATAACTCTCACTGATATAAGAAATAGCTGATATATTTAGATCTGCACAATATAGGAATATAGCTACAGTATATTTATATCTCACAATATGAGAAACCAACTACAGTATATTTGATCTCACAATATGAGATATAGCTACAATATATTTATATCTCACATTATGAAATATACAGTATATTTATATCTACGATATGAGAAATAGCTACAGTATATTTATATCTCCGCGATATGAGAAATAGCTACAGTATATTTATATCTCACGATATGAGATATAGCTACGAATATATTTATATCTCCGCGATATGAGATATAGCGCTGATACTATTTATATCTCACGATATGAGATATAGCTACAGTATATTTATATCTCACGATATGAGATATAGCTACAGTATATTTATATCTCACGATATGAGATATAGCTACAGTATATTTATATCTCACGATATGAGATATTGCTACAGTATATTTATATCTCACGATATGAGAAATAGCTACAGTATATTTATATCTCACGATATGAGAAATAGCTACAGTATATTTATATCTCACGATATGAAATATAGCTACAGTATATTTATATCTCACGATATGAGATATAGCTACAGTATATTTATATCTCACGATATGAGAAATAGCTACAGTATATTTATATCTCACGATATGAGATATAGCTACAGTATATTTATATCTCACGATATGAGATATAGCTACAGTATATTTATATCTCACGATATGAGAAATAGCTACAGTATATTTATATCTCACGATATGAGATATAGCTACAGTATATTTATATCTCACGATATGAGAAATAGCTACAGTATATTTATATCTCACGATATGAGATATAGCTACAGTATATTTATATCTCACGATATGAGAAATAGCTACAGTATATTTATATCTCACGATATGAGATATAGCTACACTATAATTATATCTCACGATATGAGATATAGCTACAGTATATTTATATCTCACGATATGAGAAATAGCTACAGTATATTTATATCTCACGATATGAGAAATAGCTACAGTATATTTAGATCTCACAATATGAGATATAGCTACAGTATATTTATATCTCACAATATGAGAAATAGCTACAGTATATTTAGATCTCACAATATGAGATATAGCTACAGTATATTTATATCTCACATTATGAGAAATAGCTACAGTATATTTATATCTCACGATATGAGAAATAGCTACAGTATATTTATATCTCACGATATGAGAAATAGCTACAGTATATTTATATCTCACGATATGAGATATAGCTACAGTATATTTATATCTCACGATATGAGATATAGCTACAGTATATTTATATCTCACGATATGAGATATAGCTACAGTATATTTATATCTCACGATATGAGATATAGCTACAGTATATTTATATCTCACGATATGAGAAATAGCTACAGTATATTTATATCTCACGATATGAGAAATAGCTACAGTATATTTATATCTCACGATATGAAATATAGCTACAGTATATTTATATCTCACGATATGAGATATAGCTACAGTATATTTATATCTCACGATATGAGAAATAGCTACAGTATATTTATATCTCACAATATGAGAAATAGCTACAGTATATTTATATCTCACGATATGAGATATAGCTACAGTATATTTATATCTCACGATATGAGATATAGCTACAGTATATTTATATCTCACGATATGAGATATAGCTACAGTATATTTATATCTCACGATATGAGATATAGCTACAGTATATTTATATCTCACGATATGAGATATAGCTACAGTATATTTATATCTCACGATATGAGAAATAGCTACAGTATATTTATATCTCACGATATGAGATATAGCTACACTATAATTATATCTCACGATATGAGATATAGCTACAGTATATTTAGATCTCACGATATGAGAAATAGCTACAGTATATTTAGATCTCACGATATGAGAAATAGCTACAGTATATTTATATCTCACGATATGAGAAATAGCTACAGTATATTTAGATCTCACAATATGAGATATAGCTACAGTATATTTATATCTCACGATATGAGAAATAGCTACAGTATATTTAGATCTCACAATATGAGATATAGCTACAGTATATTTATATCTCACAATATGAGAAATAGCTACAGTATATTTAGATCTCACAATATGAGATATAGCTACAGTATATTTATATCTCACAATATGAGAAATAGCTACAGTATATTTATATCTCACAATATGAGATATAGCTACAGTATATTTAGATCTCACAATATGAGATATAGCTACAGTATATTTAGATCTCACAATATGAGATATAGCTACAGTATATTTATATCTCACAATATGAGATATAGCTACAGTATATTTAGATCTCACGATATGAGATATAGCTACAGTATATTTATATCTCACAATATGAGAAATAGCTACAGTATATTTATATCTCACGATATGAGATATAGCTACAGTATATTTATATCTCACGATATGAGATATAGCTACAGTATATTTATATCTCACGATATGAGATATAGCTACAGTAT